ATATATATTTATATATATATATATATATTTATATTTATATATATATATGTATATATATATATATATATATACATATCTGTATTTTTTAGATATATCTGCAGAGCGTGTTGATTTATTCACAGCCAGTTATATACATCTGTATATATATTCACAGTAAATAATATATATTATTTATTTATTTATTTATTTATCTATTTATTTATTTATCTATACTGTATGTACAGGCAAAGAGGAGACACTGGCTAGGCGTCGGCGTGTGCAGGCGTTGGGTGCTGCTGCTCGTCGGCTGTCTCTTTGTGTCTGCAACCCAGCAGCAGCAGCAGCAGAGCCTGCAGATCCTCAAGATACTGCAGCATGGGTAGGCCTCTGCTGCTGCTGGCTGCTGCTGTTTGCTGCTGTCTGCTGCTGTCTGCTGTCTGCTGTTTGCTGCTGTCTGCTGCTGTCTTCTGTCTGCTGTCTGCTGCACTTTGCAGTGTACAGACAGCTGCCGCTGATTTAGTGCTTAGCGAGGCCTTCTTCTCTCCCTTTGTGCGGTGTCTCCTTTGCGGGGTGTCTCCTCTCTTATGTCCCCCTTTTATTGGTGTCTCCTTTTCTATCTGTCTCCTCTTATCTGTCTCTTTCGTATTTCTTCTTTGTCTGTCTCCTTTTTATCTGTCTCCTTTTATCTGTCTCCTTTTATCTGCCTCCTTTTATCTGTCTCCTTTTATCTGTCTCCTTTTATCTGTCCCCTTTTTATCTGTCTCCTTTTATCTGTCTCCTCAGGACTTCTTCTGCAGCCGCAGCTGCGCTGATGCTCTCGCTATGGCGTCGCGCGCAGCAAAAGCAGAGGCGCAGCCCTCTGCTGCACGAGGGCCTCTTCTGTGTGGGGTCCCCACACCCCCTGCTGCTGCTGCTGCTGCTGCTGCTGCTGCAGCTGCTGCTGCTCCGGCAGCAGCAGGGGGCCTCCCTGCTGCTGCTGCAAGCAGCGGAGTAGGAGGGCACCTGGGCGCTGGCAGCACCCTGGGGGCCCCTGGGGGGCCCCACACAGCCCCCAATGTAGCAGCACAGTCTTCGCCTGCTTCTCGCGTGTCTTCTGTAGAGCTCTTTGCTTCAAGCGATGAAGAGAATATGTCTGCTATCAGCAGCAGCGTAGCAGGGGCCCCTAGGGGGGGGGCCCCCTTGGGGGCCCCAGCAGCAGCAGCCACCATGCAGCGAGCGGGGGCCCTGGGGGGCCCCACAGATCAGCATAAACATCTAATAGGCGCAGGGGGCCTACAGGGTATACCTGGGGGCCCCCAGGGGGCCCCCCATTACGCAGGGGGCCCCCTTGCAACGGGGCCTCAGGGACCGGTGGGTTTGCCTGGGGCGTGGGGCCCCCGGCAGGGGGCCCCCGGGGGCCCCCACCCTTCTTATCGTTTGTAGCAGAAGAAAGGAGGAGACAGGAGACAGAGACAGACGCTTCACTGAGGACAAGAGTTTGTCGTAGAGGCCCTCTGTTTAACAGTATTAGAGGGGGCCCCCTGCATTCAACAGACTGGTGTTGTGGGGTGTATGAATCGGGGCCCCCCTGGTATCTTAAGGAGGGCCTCCCTGTTGTTTTAAAAGGTTTAAAAGGGGGCCCCCCTGTTGTCTGAACGGGGCCCCCCGTTGCTTTAAAGGGGGCCCCCATGTTGCTTGAAGGGGGGCCCCGTGTTGTTTGTTGTGGTGGGGCCCCCTTGTTGTCTTTTCAATGGGGGCCCCCCTTTTCAATGGGGGCCCCCCTGTTGTTTTAAAGGGGGCCCCCATGTCTTCCTATGGAGCCTTTTGTGTGGGGTTTAGAGGCAGGGCATCGGGAGGTGCCTGTACACTGCAAGGAGACACTAAAGAGACAGAGTATATGGTTTTGTTTTAACTACAGTTCGCAAACAGTATTAAGAGGGGCCCCAATAGGGGCCTCAGAGGGTAGAGGGGGTGTTGTGCTGCCGCTGCTAGGCCTTCAGAGGCTGCTGCTTTTGCTGCTGCTGCTGCTAATGCTACTGCTGCTAATGCTACTGTTGCTGCTTGTAGTGCTGTTGCTGCTTATATAGGCTCGCTGGTGCTGCTGCTGCTACTTGAGGGTGTATATCTACGCCCCCTCTTCGTGTTTATAGATAGGGGAGAGGCAGCAGAAGCAGCTTCCCTAGGCAGTGCATACTCTGGGGCCCAGGATCGTTGCTGCTGCTGTTGCTGCAGCAGCTGCTGCTGCTGCTAAGGGGGTATCCCTACACCTTCCCCCTCCTTCTGTAGCCTCTGAGGTGTGAATGCAAGTGAAAGAGAGAGAGAAGCTGCTCTGCCTGCAGCAGCAGCTGCTGCTGCTGCTGCTGCTCTCCCGGCGCGGGGGGCCCCCGCCCGCAGGTGTGACGGCCTGGGGGCCCCCAGGGGCCCCCCTGCTCTTCAGCGATATCTTTTGAAAGCGTTTAAAGACATCTTCTACAACATTTTAATTCATTATAAACCGAAAAAGCAAGCGAAAGAGCGGCAGCATTCTACGAGTTGCTGCAGCTGCTGCAGCACCAGCAGCAAGCGGGCGGCAGCAGCAGGGCCCCTCTGAGGTGTATATACACCTCAAAGCCTCTTTGACTGTTTATAAAACTATCCCTCCTTCTTCCTCTCAACGGGGGCCCCTAGTGAAGCACAGCAGCAAAGCTGAGAGGCCCCTGATTCTGCTGGTCTGGACGGCAGACACCGCAGCAGCAGCAGCGGCAGCAACAGCAGCAGCAGCAGCTACAGCTGCTGCTGCAGCACAAGTACAGCAACGCCTGCCCTCCTAAAACTCAACAATTGACTCTTCTCTTTCTCTTTGGGGCTTTCTGCATGCACTCAGCACTTCGCCTTTGTATATCCACGCAGGCGTGAGTGACCATTGGTCTCCCCAGCTGCTGCAGGTGCTGCTGCTGCTGCTGCTGCTGCTTGAGGGGCCCCCAGGCTCTTCTTAGCGCTGCAACAACAGCCTGGGCCCTTTAAACTCCATTCGTCTCCACAGATAGAGAGAAGATAGTCGAGGGCCCCAGACAGGCCGGGAGGGTAACAGCTGCTCGTGCAGCAGCAGCAGCAGCAGCAGCAACAGCAGCAGCAGCAGTAGCAACTGATTAAGAAGCACAAGCAAGAGAGACACCAGGAGCAGCGAGGGAAGCAGCAGCAACGAGGCATCCAAGCGCAGGAGGACGCCCAGGCAGAAGCAGCAGCAGCAGCAGCAAAAGCAGCAGCAGCAAAAGCAGCAGCAGCAAGAGCAGCAGCAGCAGTAGAAGTGCATGTCCTGCTGCAGCAGCAGCACTGTCTTTGGTTTGGGGCTCTGTTTGGGGGCCCCCCAATGAGGGCAGTGTCTGTAGCTGGATTATGGAGGCCCTCGTGCTGCAGCAGATTGCAGCAGCACCGCATTGTTGCTGCTTGTCTGTGAGTAGTGTTGCTCGCTGCTGTTTGCTGCTGAGGTGTCTCCTCGCTCTTTCTCTTCTGCTGCTCGAGGCACAGGGGCCCCCGGGGGCCCCCTAAGGAGTCTCTTCAATGGAGACAGTCTCCTCAGATGGTGAGCGGAGGGGCCCCCGCCGCACATGCAGATCTTCTGTCTCCTTAGCTATGCTGGCTGAGGTCTTAGCAGTATTACAAGGGCTAGAGAGAGACATTAATGAGACCAACGAGGAGACAGCAGCTGCTGCTGCTGCTGCAGCTCCTGCTGCAGCAACCGGGGCAGCAGCCAGAAGGGGGGGGCCCCTGGGGGGCCCCCCATTCTTAGTACAGCGATGTAAGCCATAACACCCTCCAGCTAGCCACTGCTTGATTAAGAAGCTAGCTACAACCTGCTCTAGCTAGCTAAAGCTTGTTTGCAGCTAGTTTTGGGGGGCCTGCAGCTAGTCCTTGCTTTAACTCCGTAGGGCTTGTCTTAGCTAGCTACGGTTTGCTTAGAGGCTCGGGGTGAGATGATCTGTGTAGCTAGCTGCGACCTGGTGGTAGCTAGCTGAGGGGCCCTCTGCTTCTGACCACTAGTTGGCTAGCTAGCTAGCTAGCTAGCAAGTTGGGTAGCTAGCTGGGCGGGTAGCTAGTTTGGTGGCTAGCTAGCTGGGCAGCTAGCTAGCTATCCATCTACTTAGCTACACGGCTATGCAGGTAGCTAGCTAGATGCATAGCTAGGTAGATGGGTAGCTAGCTACGCATCTGTCTAGCCAGCTAGTTGGGTAGCTAGCTAGCTAGCTTAGGGGGGGCAGGTAAGTAAGTGGTAGAGGGTCTGCCTTATCTGTATTGCAGTATCTGTTTGTTCGCTGCTGTCTGTCTCCTTCAGCTAGGGGCCCCTCCTTGCAGTCTTTTAGCTCTGTCTCGAGCGTTGTCTCTGCCTGGGGGGCCTCGGGGGGCCCCCAGAGGGATGGGGGGCCCCCCAGCGAGGTGTCTCCTTCGGCTGAAAAGAATATAGCAATGGTGCATGCGCTGCTTGTCTCCACCTTAGAGCCCCAAGTACAGCAAATATTAAACAAAGTAAGCGACGAAGGCTAGCAGACAGGGGTCTCCTTAGATAGGCAGGTGTCTCCTTAAAGAGACAGGGGTCTCCTTAGATAGACAAGTGTCTCCTTGTAGGCAAGGGTCTCCTTATATAGAAAAGGGTCTCCTTAGGGAGACAAGGGCCTCCTTAGATAGACAAGTGTCTCCTTAAAGAGACGGGGGTCTCCTTTCTGCAGCAGCAGACGGTGGTGTCGCTGTGCTGCCTTCAGCTGTCTCCTGTCTCCTTTTGCTGCTGCTTTGGTGTCTCTTCTTGTGCAGCTACGCGAGCAGCAAAAAACAACAGCAAGTCTCCTTGCTAAGATAGACAAGCAAAGAAAAGAAGAGCAGAGACAGGTGAGGCCCACCTAGTTTACGGATTAGGGTTTAGGGTTTAGGGTTTAGGGTTTATGTTCTAGCGTAGTTTAGGGTTTAGGGTTTGTATTGTTTGTTGTGTCTCTGTCTCCTGTCTCCTTTGCTGCTGCAGATGGAGACAGTAGAGGACATGCAGCGGGAGCTTAATAAACAGAAGGAAGAGCTGCAGCAGCAGCGGCCTTTGCTGCGCGAGTTGGAGACAGTCAGGGAGGAGAACTTCGTAAGCGTTGTGTCTCTTGCTGTCTCCTTTTGCTGCTAAACCCTAAACCCTAAACCCTAAACCCTAAACCCTAAGGCCCCCTTTAATTGTCAGCCCCCCGGGGAGACACCAGAGCTGTCTGTCTCTGCGCTGGGCACACAATGCGCGTCTTTCTCTGTTGCTGCTGCTGTTGCTGCTGCTGCTGCTGCTGTTGCTGCTGTTTTTGCTGCTGCTGCTGCAGTCTCTGCAGAGAGAAGTGGAGCGTCTGCAGCAGCAGATTGAAGCTGCTAGCAAGCACCAGCAAGCGAAGGCTGCAGAGACACCCCGTCATCCCCTGTCTCTGCAGGAGAAAGGAGACAGCAGCAGCAGGAGCAGCAGCAGCAGCAAAATGTCTGTCTCTCTTCTCTTCTCACAGCCAACCGCAGACCTGCAGACGCAGCCCACAGAAAACATCTATCTGTCTCTCTCGCTATATATATATATATATATGTATATATGCCTGTATAAATATATATAAATATATATGTGTCTAGTAGATATATTTAATATGTGTGTGTGTGTGTGCGTGTATGTGCTTATATATATATATATATATAATGTATATATATATTCATAAGTATCTATATGAATATATATTATATATAAATCTACTTACATATATATGTATATGTATATACATATACATATATATATATAATTATACAATATATATAATATATATATTATATATATTATATTATATATAATATATATATTATATCTATAGAAGAAGCGCGTGGGTTGTTTGTTTGATGTGGGGCTGCAGACTGGAAGAGAGAAAAGAGTTAGAGAGAGAACTGCAGAAAAAAACAAAAGAAGTAAAACGACAATAAAGTATATTTAATCGACAGACAGATATAACAGAGATAGAGACAGTAGAGAGATAGATATAAAGATATAAAGATATGTATATATATATATATAGAGAGAGAGAGAGAAAGAGACAGATATAACAGAGATAGAGACAGTAGAGAGATAGATATAAAGATATGCATATATATATGGAGAGAGAGAGAGAGAAAGAGACAGATATAATAGAGATAGAGATAATAGGCAGACAGATATAGAGATATATATATAGGAGACAGATATAATACAGATAGAGATAATAGAGAGACAGTTAGAATAAAGAGACAGTTAGAATAGAGGCAGAGAGAATAGAGACAGGCAAATACATAAAGAGATAGACATAATAGATATAGATGTGAGAGACAGAAGAAGAGAATAACAAATAAACAATGAGACAGATATAACAGAGACAGAAAAGGAGACAGATAGAAAGAGGAGCTGCCGCTCTGTAAGGCTATCTCTCTAGGTCTCTAGCTAGCTAGCTAGTTAACTAGCTAGCTATGTAGCTCTCTCTCTAGCTAGCTACCTAGTTATCCAACTCGCTGTCTAGCTAGCTAGCTATTTCTATGCCTGCCTATCTAGCTAGCTGGCTAGCTAGCTGGCTAGCTAGCTAGCCAGTCATTTATCTATCTATCTGGCTATCTAGCTAGCTAGCTATCCCTAGCTGCAGCGTAGGTGGGTCTTCACATTGCGTTGTGTGTTATGCTTTTTGTTTTTGTTTTGTTTGCTGGGAGCAGCTGCAGCGGCAGCAGACAAGGTGCGAGCAGCGAGAAGAAGTAATAAAAGGGCTGCAAGAAGCTGTACGAGTGCTGCAGCAGGAGAGGCCTGCTGCTGCTGCTGCGGTGTCTCTGCAGCACTACGGCAGCATCCCTACCTGTCTCTCCCCACATTCAAATAAAGCTGATGTTTCTCTATCGAAGCAATTTCGTACTGCTGCAACTCTATACACCAGAGCGAGGAGACATCAAGAGACACCCCAGCAGCAGCTAATAGACAGGCACGATAGCCTTGCTGCAGAGCTCGCACAAGAAACCACGCATCAGCAGCAGCAACAACAGCAGCAGCAGCAACAGCAGCAACAGCAGCAACAGCAGCAACAGCAGCAACAGCAGCAGCAGCAGCTTCAGGAGCAGCTGCAACAGCGGGAAGAACAGCTGCAGATGCTCAGGGAAGAACTTGCTGCAGCAGAAGACAGAGCAGCAAAGAAGACAGAGGCGATGCAGCAGCTAAGCGAGCAGCTGCTGGAGCTGAAGCCTCTTCAGCAGAAGCTTAAGGAAGCAGAAGCAGCAGCAGCAGCAGCTTCTGCAGCAGCAGCAGCAGCTTCTGCAGCAGCAGCAGCAGCAGAAAACCAGAGACTCGCGGAAGCAGCAACTACGCAGCAGCTGCAGCGCGAACGCGACACCCTGCTGCAACAGCAGCAGCAGGCTGCTGCAGAGGCCTCATCAGAGACACAAAAATTAAAGACAGAATTAAAAGACAAAGAAGATATTATAGAGGAAATGAATGAGAAGTGCAAGGCTGCTGCTGCTGCACAAGAAACGCTGCAGCAGCAACTCGGCGCCCAAACGGCTCAACTGCAGCAACAGCAGCAGCAACAGCAACAGCTCGAACAGCAAAACAAGGAGCTGCTGCAGCAGGCAGATAAGAAGCAGATGCTGCTGCAGCAACTCGAAGAGCAGCGCCAGCTGCTTCACCAGCAGTTGGAGCAGCAGCAGAGACAGCAGCAGCAGCTGCAGACGCAGTCGCAGCAGCAGCAGCAGCAGCAAGACCTGCAGCTGCAGGCGCTGCAGCAGCAGCTTGTTGAAGAGAAGAAACGATTAGAGGAGACACTTGGGCAGCTGCACGAAGCCGCGCAGCAGCTGCAGCAGACAGAGGAGGACCGAAGGAGACAGGAGACAGCTCTGAGCAAGCTGCGGTCAGAGCTGCAGCAGACGGAAGAAGGCGCAGCAGCAGAACGCGCAGCAGCAGCAGCAGCAACAGCAGCAGCAGCAGCAAGCAGCAAACGCGTAGAGGAGCTAGAGAGCTCTCTGCTGTCTCTTCAGACACGTGAGGCCCAACTCCAGGTGTCTCTACAGGAGACAGTACAGAGACACAGCGAGGAGACAGCAGAAAGACAAGCAGCTGTTGGTGCGATGCAGAGGCAGCTGGAGGAGCAGCAGCAACTCGTCAAGGCCCTTCAAGCAGCAGCAGAAGAGGCAAAGCAGCAGCAGCAGCAGCAGCAATCGACGGCGTCTGCGGGTGTGTCTGAGCAAGAGGTGGCGGAGTTGCAGCAGCAAGTGCAGCAGCTGCAGCAGCAGGTGCAGCAGCAGCAGCAAGAGTTGCAACAGCAGCAGCAGCAGATGCAACAGCAACTGCAGCAGCAGCAGCAGGAGATGCAAGCAGCCCTAGACAAAGCAGAGAAGAGACTCAGCCTTCAGAAGCAAGCGAGGAGAGAAGCAGAGACAAAAAACCTCGCCCTAGAGGTGAACTCCATAGCAGCAAAAGCCTGCTGCTGCTGCTGCTGTTGCTGTTGCTGCAGCAGCAGCTGCTGCTGCTGTAGCTGCTGTTGCTGCTGTCGTTGTCTCTGTCTCTGTCGATGCAACGCAGGGCCCGTTGGGCTCTCTTCTTCCCTTAACCTGTCTCCTTTGCTGTCTCTGCTGTCTCTGTCTCCTTTGCTGTCTCTGCTGTCTCTGTCTCAGTTATTTTGTCTGTCTCTATTTATTTGCTGCAGCAGGACAAAAGATATTTTGTTTCTGTCTCCTTTCTCTTAGTCTTCCTTCTGTCTCTGTTTATGTCTCTGTCTCTGTCTCCCTTTCTATGTCTGTCTCCTTCTTTATGTCTTTGTCTCTGTCTCTGTCTCTGTCTTTATATATAATTATATATACCACCGAAGCACGTTTTTGTTTTTGTTTGCTTCAGAAGAAGCTGCAGCAGCGGAAGCAGCAGCTGCAGACGCTGCTGGAGCTGCACGAGGAGACGGCAATGGAGAGGGTTAGTCAGCATCATGTGTCTCCCTTGCTGCTGCTGCTGCTGCTGCTGCTGCTGTTTGCTTCGTGTCTGCTTCTTCGTGTGGGGTCTCCACGCCTGCAGCTGATGCATGCATGCAACAGATGCATGCATGCAGCAGATGCATGCATGCAGCAGAGCAGAGTATTTGATGTCTTCCTAAAAGAACAGCAGCCCCAGCTTTTGCCTTACCAAGTGCAGGAGCAGGAGCAGCAGCTGCTGCTGCTGCAGCAAGCAACAGCAGCGGCAACAAGCAGCAGCAGTAGTAAGCAGCAGGAGCAAGCAGCAGCAGCGAAGAACAGCAGCAGGAGCTTGTTTCTTCTGCTGCTGCAGCACAGAGGAGCAGCAGACGTTGTGTGGTATTGGAGTAGACACTGATTGCTCTCTGTTCTCCGGGTGTATGCACTTTGCATGCATTGATGCATGCATTGATGCATGCATTGATGCATGCACTTATGCATGCACTTTGCATGCATTTATGCATGCAACTTTGCATGCATTTATGCATGCGCTTCTGCATGCGTATTTGCATGCATTTATGCATGCAACTTTGCATGCAATTCTGCATGCATGCATTTGCATGTCTTTTGGTACTGTGTTGTTTGGGGCTGTGGGTTTAGGAGGAAGTGCTGAGTCGGGGAGCGGAGACAATCCGCAGGGCTGAAGGAGACTGTCTGCAGCTGTGCCGCTATGTACTGAGCAACAAGGAGACACTTTTGGGTGTATCTGCAGCTGCAGCAGCAGCAGCAGCAGCAACAGGAGACGCCGTCTCCCCTGTCCCCCCACTGCGTCTGTCTCCCTTCGGCTGCAAGTACGTGCATGCATGCGATAGAAAGTGTCTCTCTAAACAAACTGTCTCCTTAGAACATGTAGATAAGCAGCAACAGCGCTGAGGTGTACATACACCTCAGCGCTGCACCTCTGGAAGAGCGGAGAAGCCTCGCATTTTTTGCAGGGTCTGTTGCAGGCGTATGATGTGGGGTTTGCTGTCTCCTTTATCTTTTTTTTCTGTCTCTTTCTTCTGCTTTATCCCTCTGCAGCATTTTAAAAGATGCAATCAACCAAACAAATCGCAGCACAAGCAATTACACTTCAAGGGGTTCGAACGCCCGCAGAGCCCTCAGGCCTGTCCCCATGTACCGGTGCGTTGGGGTCTCCTCAGCTGCAGCAGCAGCAGCAGCAGCAGCAGACAGCAGCAGCAGCAACGTGCAGCAGCTTGCCCATGCGTTTTTGTTGCTCCTACGCCGGAAAGGCTACCCTGACACTGCACGTAGCAGTGCACTTCTAGGGTTTAGGGTTTAGGGTTTAGGGTCTAGAGTCTAGGGTTTGGTGTTTAGGGCCCTCGGGATGAGAGAAAAAGAAAGAGGAAATGGACGGCTTTGTTTGCTGTTATTTTCCATCTTGTGCATGCATGCATGCAGAAGTGCATGCATGCATGCAGAAGTGCATGCATGCATGCAGAAGTGCATGCATGCATGCGTTTGCGATTTGTGTTGCTGCGCTGCAGCCCGGTGGCTATGAGTCTTCAAGACTTAGCGCCAGGGAAGGGGCCCCAGCGGAGCGGAAGCCGCAGCAGCAGCAGCAGCGGGAGCAGCAGCAGCAGAGACATTTTTGATATGCTTCCGAGCTTCCCTGAGGCTTTGTCTCTTGTGCAGCAGCTAGGTAGAAGATGGGTAGGGGGTGAGAAAGCTGCTGCTGAGGAGACAGCAGGGGCTTCATATAATCCTTTTGCTGCTAGCGGTAGGGAGGCCTCGAGGCATACACAGCAAGCGTCTTCTGTCTCTAGTGCTGTCTCTTCACCTCTGCTGTCTCCTCACGAGCGGAGACAGTGCAAACCCCACAAAGGAGACAGTAAGAGACACCAGGCGTTCAATCAAGAGACACCCTCCTTAGCTAACTCCGTCGAGACTATCCCTAGCACTGCTAGCTTCAACACAGACACCTCTAGAGATATACTTCTCTTCCACCAGCAGCACCACGACCACCACCAGCAGCAGCAGCAGCAGCAGCACGAGCAGCAGCAGCAGCAGCACGACCAGCAGCAGCAGCAGCAGCAGCAGCAGCAGCAGCAGCAGCAAGGCGGGGAGGGAGGTGTGGGGCCCGCTGAGGGCGGGCAGGAGAAAGCCAGGCCCAAGAGGATTCATAGGAGACACTTAGGGCATCAATACATCGATGTTGAGGGGAGAACCTTCCGCGCTTACTTGCATGCAAATGAAAAATAATCTGCTGTCTCCTTTGTACGTCTTCTCTAATCAAATGCAGTTGCTGCTGCGCATGCTGCAGCTACACGTGCTGTAGCAACGGATGCTGCTGCAACAGCAAATGCTGCTGCTGCAAATCCTGATGCTGTGGGTGTTCTTTTGCAGCTGCTGCAGCAGCAGGTGCTACTGCAGCAGCCTCTACTGCAGCAGCTTCTGCTGCAGCAGCTTCTGCTGCAGCAGCTTCTGCTGTGCTGCAGCAGCTTCTGCTGTGCTGCAGCAGCAGCACTTGCTGTTAACAGCAGTGTCTGGAGGTGCTCTCCATCATTTTTTAAGTTTTTTTCTGTCTGTTTGCTTGAGGGTAGTGTTCATTATAAGGGGAGCCTTCTTTTCTCAATAATATACGTTTTGTTTTAAAGCGAATATCTTCTTAATTTACTTTTAGTTTTCTATTGTAGGGTTTTAATAAAATTGCAGCCCAAGCCTATGCCACCATGCAGCGTTAGTATATATATATATATATATATTCATATATATATATATTATATGTATAAATATTAGCCTTAGGGTGTCTCCAGAGACAGAAGCACCGAAAAGAAAATATTGCGAAGGTGCGAGAGAGAGGATTCAGCGAGAGCGGACTGAGATGCAAGAAATGCGAGTGAGGATTGAAACTAAATTTAAAGTATTTAATTTAAAAGTATAAATATTTAAAGAAATACATTTAATAAATTTGGTGTCAGTAAAGGGGGATCGAAGGAATTCAAGAAAAGAACGTAATATTATATTATATTATTGCTATATTATGTAGTAATATTATTTTAATGTTATATTATTGTTATATTGAAAATAAATTAAGAAGAATGCAGCAATTAATAAATGTTATAGAGAGGAGATCAATAGAAAGAAAAAAATAAAATTTGTTTAAGTAGAAAATAATTCAGAGGGAGGAAACACAACTCAATAAATGCAGCCAAAAAATGCATAAATAAATAAATAAATAAATAAATAAATAAATAAATAGTTATTTATTTATTTAAATGTATAATATATAAATAAACAATTCAATAAAATAACAAAGAAAGAAGAATCGAGCAAAATAAACAAATAAAACCATCGAAAGAAATTATTCAATATAAAAAATATTCGATAAGAAGAAATGTGCAAAAAATCAAAACAATAATTCAATAAAAGAAAATAATAAAAGAAAATAATAAAATAAATAAATAAAATATTCAGGAAAAGAAATAAAAGAAATAAATAAAAGAAATAAAAGAAATAAATAAAAGAAATAAATGAAAGAAATAAAAGAAATAAATAAAAGAAATAAATAAAAGAATTCAATAAAAGAAATAAATAAAAGAATTCAATAAAGAAAATTATTTCATTAAAAAGCCCCACTGCATGCGTGGGGTTAATGTTTTTTCTCTTGTTTATTTCTTTAGAAAATGCAAATTGCATGCATTTTAACAGAAAGGAGACACTTAATAAACAAAAGGAGACACACAATAAGCAAAAGGAGACACTTAATAAGCAAATGGAGACACTTAATGAACAAACGGAGACAAGACACTTAATGAAAAAAGGGAGACACTTAATAAGCAAAAGGAGACACTTAATAAACAAAAGGAGACACTTAATAAACAAAAGGAGACACTTCGCTTTCTGCTTATGTCTGCACGCAAGAAAAGACGCCATACCTTTTATATCTAAACAAAAGCAGAAAATAAACTTCACTCTACAGTTATAGAATGAAGTAAATATAATAAATAAGCATCATTGTATACACCTGAACAGAGAAGGAGACACTTTATTTATAAACGCAAAAGGAGACATTATTTATTCCTTACAACTGCAACAACAAAGACAAAAAAACAGTATATAGACGAGATGAATATGCTGGCGTCTTTGAATAATGAAGAGCCCGGGTGTATATACAGCACAGACAAGCCCCACGAGAAAGGAGACAATCCCTTGAAGACTTATGAAGTGTCTCCTTTGCATGCACTTTGCATGCAGCAGCAAGGAGACAATTCTTTTCGTCTCTTTTATTATTTTCTTCTTCATCTAGGAAGAAGTCGTGTGCGCCGCCTTCGGAGACACAAGACGTGGGGATTCATACTGCAGAGACAGCAAAAATAAAAAATAAATATAATAAATAAAGCAGCAAGGAGACAGCACAACAGCATCAAAGGAGACAGTTGTGAAGTGTCTCCACACGCATTTTTATGTGCAACACGGGCTTGCAGTGTATCTCTTCTTTCTCTTTCTTTTAAAAGAGACAATGAATAAGCAAGTGTCTCCTATAAAGGCATGCTTTGCCTCCTTTGTCTCCTTTAATGCATTAATTTAATTATTAAGCTCTCTAAGTTGCAAGACTAACGGGTAAATATAATAATGCTCCCATCCAGCAGTTTGCTGCACTCGCAAAACCTGAAGAAGATATTCCTCCGATAACAAACCTTGAGGTCGCAGCCGCAGCTCTTCTCTAAACATATCGTATTGCTGCAAAGCCATCCACAGCAATAACAGCAAACTATGTGCATGCATGCATGCATGCATGCATGCATGCATGTCTTGTAAACAACATGCATGCGTGCATGCAAGGAAAAGAGATGAGCAGTGTGTGCACGACGCTAGATAATCTGAATGCATGCATAGGGCTAGTATTTTCATTTAAGGCTAAACGGATGCCATATACTTTGCATGCATGCATGCATGCAGAGATGTATGCATGCATGCAAGCAAAGTCTGTTGGACAGAGGAGCTAAAGGGGGGCGTTTGGGGCTGGGATTGTTTCTGGGTTTGTACGATGTGCATGCAAAGCACTTCTCCTTTTTGTGCCGTGAGGACAGCTATATCCTCTCACCTTCTTAGTTAAAGTGATATACCTGCACGCATTCACAACAGGCAGCAGCAGCAGCAGCAGCAGCAGCAGCAGGTGGGCGCAGCTGCAGCAAGAGAGTCGCTCTGTTATCTATTGCAACTCGGGCAATACACTGCAGAGCAGAAGAAGGCTTATAGAGCTCTCTCTCTCTGTCTGTCTCTATCTGTCTCTCTCTCTGTCTCTCTCTCTCTCCCTCTCTCTCTCTCTCTCTCTTTCGCTTTCTCTCTCTTTCTGGATTCATACATACACATGCATGCATGCATGCATGTGTATGTATGCATGCATGCATATGTGTGTGCATACGGACTTGTATTCATATTCGCCTGCATCGTATTTAACGGAGTGAGATTCTCTAAGAGAACCATCAGCAGATCTCGCCTGGGAGAAAGAACTGTCTTGAAGTCTGTACTCCCAGTTGAGTGGATCCATAGGGTCTTTCTTAGGCCTGGAGGACATCTTATTATATTATCTACTAGCCAAACAATTGCACAAAAAATAATAAACAAACGAAACAAACACAATAGACACGCAACAACACACGCACTGACAAGGAGCTTCAAAGAACACTCCTAATACATCAATAAATAGACAGAAAAAAGCATTAAAATATACAATATTCAATTAATACTTCATCGTTTATCTTCTATTTAATGATATTCACTGCAATACTGTATGCAAACTGTAAGCACCGGCGCAGCACGAGGGCTCTACCTATGCTAGCAGCATCAGCCCTTCAAATATGCGCTGCTGCAGCTGTTGCTGCTGCTGTTTTTAACAAATAAATATATTTATTTTCTGTTTAATTTATATTTTTAATTCAAAAAAATTATTTCTGTTAGACACAACAAACAAAGAAGAAGACGCAGCACGAGGCCCGACCACTGCGCCTCAGGCTGCAGTGCTGTGAATGGTTTTCTTCTGCAGAAATATTGTTGAAATATTAATTTAAATATTAATAAATAAAATTAAAATATATAATTAAATCAAACGCAAAGAAAATTTCACTTCTTATATGGGTACTTAGGGAGGTCCACTGGTCAGGGGGGGGCATGTATTGCATAAAAGAGCCTCTTCGTTTTCTTTGTTTTCACTGCAAACAAATAAAAGAAAAGAAGAATAAACCCTCTGCAGGCCCCTCATTTTATATCAATAAGGCATCGATAACAGACAGGCAGCTAACTAGGTCCACAGACAGCTAGCGATATAGACACATAGCTAGCTAGATGCATGTACACCTCATCCCCTCGTACTACCATCTATGAACTCAACTAGCTAGACAAACCTAAAGACACAGCTAGCTAGGTGCACCTGCGCTCTAGCTAGTGGGTACTGCAACCCCACAACCCACAGCTAGCTAGCTAGCTAGCTACAGTAGCCCCACAGCTCACAGCTAGCTAGCTAGCTAAACTAGCTCTGTGGGGTTACTGTACAACCCACAGCTACCTAGCTAGCTACAGTAGCGCGACAACCCAAAGCTAGCTAGCTAGCTACAGTAGCCCCAAAGGTAAAGAAGCACTCTCCCTGCCCCGTTCATCAGGCTAGCCAAGGAATTCAGTGAGACGCAGAGAGCCGAAGCACAAGCGAAGGAGACAAGCAAACGCTTGCTTGTCTCTGCAGTCCTTTTGCTGCTGCTCTCTTTTATATATAACCAGACGAAGAGACACCAAAAAAAATTAGTTATATTGTTTGTCTCTCTCTCGTAAAGGCTACTGTCTCCCCCTGTCAATTAGATTGGCTCGAGCGTCTCTTCGTTTGTTGAATAGGAAAGAAGTTCGTTAAGACAACAGCAGGTGCAGATACACCCGAGAAGTGTCTCTGTCTTTGTTTCTGTCTCCCCCCTATGCCTCCCTCTTTGCTGCCTCCCTTGCGTCTTCTTTTCTGACATTTGTTTGCTTTAGGAGAGACTGCAGCAGAAGCACTCTGTGTTGTACGCTTCTTTATAAACTCTGCTGTATTTGCTGCTGCTGCTGCGCGTCTTGGCCCTATGACCAGAGGCGTCTCCTCTTCTGAGGAGACAGGTGTCTCCTCTGTCTCTTCTATTGTTATACACTGTCTTGCAGCATCAGTTAATGAACCCCTCTGAATATCTGCTTCTCCTTTTGTCTGCTGCTGCAGAGGCCTTGCAGTGTACGTACACTTTGTGCTTGGGGGCCCTTTAGGTGAACTATATAAAACTTCTCGCGACGGAGACTCCTCTGAGGAGTCTCCTGAGCAAACACTAATAACTTCAGCAGAAGCAAATGCCCCTAAAGCCTCTGCCTCACGACTAGACGCTCTTGCGCTGCTGCTGCTCATGCTGCTGCTGCTGCTACTACTGCCGCTAATACTGCTGCTGCTACTGTTGCTGCTGTTTCTGCTGCTCAAACGGTGTGAAGAGACACTTGGGGAGGAGGAGACCCGAGCCGGTGTTGTCTCTGTCTCCTCAACCTCCACCACCTGTCTCCTATCAGCCCTGCCTTCCTCTGCGCGTCCCTCCCGCTGCAGAACCTGCTGCTGCTGCTGCTGCTGCTGCTGCTTCTGCTGCTGCTGCTGCTCTGTCTTTTGGCGGCTGAGGAAGGCGTCCATTGCCCCTGTAGTTGTCTGCACGTTGCTGTGGGGCGTGAACCCGCTGAAGGTGAGGCTAATAATTTGAATAAGGGGCAGCGCAGACTCAGTACAGGAGCCTACTACCTGCTTAAAGAGGTGTAGAGACACCTCGGAGAGCGCAAACAGCAGAGGGTCTCCTGCAACTCCTGCTCCTGCTCCTGTTCCTGTTCTTGCTGCTGCTGCTGTTGTTTTTGCTGCTGCTGCTGCTGCTGTTGCTGCTGCTGCTGCTGCCCCTCCGCACGCTTGCTCAGGGCGCTGCAGGGGAGCAGCAGACGAAGCATTTGAATGAAGTTTTACAGAGGGAGATAAACTGCTCCCTACCAACAGAGACCGCACAGGCCCAGGCAACGTAAAGGAGCGGCTCGTCCGCCGGAAGGAGCCCTTAAACCTGCAGCAGCAGCAGCAGCAGCAGCAGCAGTAGCAGCAGTAGTAGTAGTCGCAATAAGAACCATAGCGGCAAGGCCAGCCGTTGCAGTACAAGCAGCAGTATCTGGGAGGGGAGAAACAGCAGCAAGACAGCAGCAGAAGCATCAGCTTCTGCAGCAAAAGCAACAGCAGCAGCAACAAAAGCAGCGGAACCAGCAACAGCAAAGAGACGGTACCAGCAGCAGCAGCATCAAAAGCAGCAGCAGCAGCAGGAACACAAGCAGCAGCAACAACAACACAAGCAGCAGCAGCAGCAGCAGCAACAGCAGCAGCAGCAAGCGTGTTGTGGGGTCTTTTAGAGGAGACTGACGCGACGGAGACCTTGAGGTTGGAGGCCACGAGTGCAGATAAGTGCAGTGTCTCTGTGTGTCTCTGCAGCAGTCTCCTCAGCAGTTTGACTATCTCATCCCTAACCCGAGCCCAAGAAGAGATGCAGCAGTTGCTGTAAGAGTCTTCGGCTGATATGCTGTCTGTGTACAAACGGCTGTTCTCAAC